AAGTCGGACGCTTAACCGACTGCGCCACCCAGGTGCCCCGAGTACTAACTTTTAAACTTTACTTCCATGAGACTTTATGGCAGTTAGTTTTTTGGGTTTTTTTGTTTTGCTAATTATTTTTTTAGTGTTTATTTATTTTTGAGACAGAGAGAGGCAGAGCACAAGCAGGGGAGGGGCAGAGAGAGACACACATAGAATCCGAAGCAGGCTCCAGGCTCTGAGCTGTCAGCACAGAGCCTGACGTGGGGCTTGAACTCATGAGCTGTGAGGTCATGATCTGAGCTGAAGTCAGACATTTTACCAACTGAGCCACCCAGGTGCCCCTATGGTGGTTAGTTTTTAAGGGGGAAGAATTGATATGAAGATATGAAGAATATGATATGAAGAATTTTAAATGTAATGTTTTGAAATTGCCCTTTTGACATTTTGTAAATATAAATACTGTACAAATATTCATTGTTTACATGAAACAATAATGTAAATGTGTAAAAATATATGCTTATGTTAAGGAACAGTGCTTCAATGTATATGTTTTGCTTTAGATTCTGGAACTGAAGACATGCTATGGACAGAAAAGTATCAACCCCAGAACTCCAGTGAGCTCATAGGCAATGAGCTAGCTATAAAAAAATTACATAGGTTGGTAAAACATGTTAAAGAATTGAGAAACAGTTTTACATTTAGTTTGTTTTGAATCTAATTTGTTTAGTTTGTTTGAATCTAGTTTTACTATTTAGTTTTAATCTAGTTTGAGTTTAGTGTTTAGTTTGTTTGAATCTAGTTTTACTATTTAGTTTGTTTTATTTATACTAAAATATAGAAATTATAAAGTATTACTTGTATGATAAAATCTTTGTAAAAAAGAAACTTAAGAAAAACATGAAAAGTAAATATCCTTCTTTTCTATTTCTACTCTCTAGAGGTAACAACTATTAAAGGTTTCTTGTAGAATCTTCCAGAAAAAAATTTATGCATATGTTAGCTCCTTTCTTCCTAACAAATAGGGTCATATTACTACTAATTCAGGTCCATAGTCCTTTGTCTACAATTCCCACATCCAAAAAAGTTCTGAAAATTAAAAGTTACTAACTTACGGTTTTTATGGATCCCACTTGGTAGGAGTTCATACCTTTTTAAAAAAATTTTTTAACGTTTATTTGTTCTTAGAGAGAGAGAGACACAGCGCAAACAGGGAAGGGGCAGAGAGAGAGGGAGACACAGAATCCAAAGCAGATTCCAGGCCCAAGCTGTCAGTACAGAGCCCTATGCGGGGCTTGAACTCATAAACCACAAGATCACGATCCGAGCTGAAGTCAGATGCTTAACTGACTGAGCCACCCAGGCGCCCCTCATATCTTTTTTTTAAATAAAAACATTAAGTGATTATTTTGTAATACCAGAGACCCCAGAGGGGTATTGTGTTATGTGTGGTATGTGTACCAAATTACTTTTCTGGTATCTAAAAAATTTTGAATTCTAAAACTCACCTGGTCCAAAGGATTTCATATAAGAAATAGGGGCCTATAATAATAGTTAACACTTTGAGCTTAGTACTGTTCTAAGTGCTTGCATTGTTCTTAGCCCCTGTAATCCTTACAACTATACTATGAGAGTAAATACTGCTGTCCTCATCTTATAGATAAGGAATGGACCTACAGAGGTTGAATTATTTGTCCAGGGTCACCCAGCTTGAAAGTAGTGGGGCTGGAACTCAAACTTGAGCAGTCTAGCTCTAAACTAGAACTTAATCTTTCTGCTTATACTTAGCACTGTGTATTAGACATGTTTCATATCATCACACGGTCTACCTGAACTCTTTATAGTTGTTCTGTACTGGTTTCATAGGTGAGGGTACTGTAGTGTCTCTTTTCCCCTACTGAAGTACTTTTATGTTTTTCCCTTTGGAACCTTATCTGAGCAAGGTTGCAGTGGATATCCTTGTACATACAGTGTTGTATATTTTGGTAAAAAAATTACTTCCTTTAGAAATATTTGTGCCCATGTAAAAATATTTTACTATTTCTTTGATTCAAAGAGATATGGCTCTATTCTGTGAATTAGTTAAGTAACACATATTTTCTTATGGCAGTTGGTTGAAAGACTGGAAGAGACGAGCCGAATTGGAAGAAAGACAAAATTTGAAGGGAAAAAAAGATGAGAAACAGGAAGGTATCTTGAGGCATTTTCTCCATTTCACTGAACGTGTTTAGTTAGATTGGCTCTAAATGTGTATGAAATTTCTTAATTGTATTTTATATTTGATTTCCTAGTTTTTGTAAATAAGTGTCTAGCATCTATTGCTGCCTGAGCAGTTATCAAATGATAATTTGCATTTGAATAATTTTTCAGATCTGTCGGATAGCATTGATTTTAAAGGCAGTTCAGATGACGAAGAAGAGAATCGCCTTTGCAATACTGTTCTGATAACAGGGCCGACAGGAGTGGGGAAGACTGCCGCGGTATATGCATGTGCTCAGGAGCTTGGATTTAAGGTTAGTAACAGCTACGCCAGGAGGATGTTAATGTATCTGTTGCACTCGAATTAAAGGAAGACCGACCATTCTGCCTTGCTTTCATGTATTCTTCCAGATATTTGAAGTCAATGCCTCTTCTCAGCGCAGTGGTAGACAAATTCTGTCTCAACTGAAGGAAGCTACCCAGTCCCATCAAGTGGACAAACAAGGTGTAAACTCTCAGAAACCTTGTTTTTTTAATAGTTACAACCTAGGCAAGTCACCAAGTAAGTAAATTCTTTTGCTTAGGTCATAACCTTTGAGAGAAAGTGAAATCTACAAAAATAATTTTAATAATCAGCATTTTTTTTTTTTTTTTTGCCTTTTGTTTTTTAACCTTTTCCTATACACACACGTGCGTGCACCTTTTTTATGTTTTCCTGGATGGTTTTAAAATAAACCTCAAGACCATCATATAATTTTATTTGTATGTACTTCAGTAGGTATCTCTAATTGATAAAGGCCTTTAAAAAGCATAACCAGGGGTGTCTGGGTGGCTCGGTCTGTTAAGCGTCTCACTCTGGATTTCAGCTCAGGTCATGATCTCACACAGTTTGTGGACTCGAGGCCCACATTGGGTTCTGCACTGACAGTGCGGAGCCTGCATGAGATTCCCTGACCCTCCTCCGCTCACACACGTGCTTGCTCCCTCTCTCAAAATAAATAAACATAAAATAAAATAAAAAGCATAACCACAGTAATCATTATTAGACCTAATGAAATTAGCTATGTATCTTAATTTGATCTAATACATACTCTTATTTTGGTGTTCTGTTGTTTCAAATGGTTCGTGCAAATTTGGATTCAAACAAGGTTTACATCTTACATTTGACTGATGTCTTTTAAATGTCTTTCAGTCTCCCTAATAATTCCCTCATCCTTTTCATATCATTTATTTGTTGAAGAACGTGGGTCATTTTTCATAAAATCTCTCACGTTTTAGATTTCGCTGATTGTATGTTCATGGCGTCAGTTAACATATTCCTCTTCCCTATATTTCTTGTAAACTGGCAGTTAGATCTGTGATATTGATTAGATTAAGGTTCTGTTTCAGGGCTACCATACATGCATAGGCGGGGCTGTGTGCTTCCTATGGCATCAAAGCGGAAGATAACATTTGTGATGGTCACATGGCTCAGTGAGTTCAGTTGTTTTCAGGCTGATCCATCCATTATAAAGTTCCCCATCACTCTTTTATGTAGCCATGAATGATCTTTATCTAGTAGATTATTTCATTAGGAGTTAAAAAATGGGTGATTTTGTAATTCACTGAGCCTTTCTGAATTTATTAGTTGAAATTGTAAGGAGAATTTCTCCTCATCAGTTGTTTGGACACTTTGACATATAATTTGTACAGGAAAGGCACGAGAAATGTTTCATTCTTTCCTTTTTAAAAATGTATTTTGTTTGTTTTTTTAGAGAGAGCATGAGTGGGTGAGAGGGGCAGGGAGAGAGAATCCCAAGCAGACTCTGTGCTCAGTGTAGAGCCTGACGTAGGGCTCAATCCCACAACCATGAGATCATGACTTCTGAGCCAAAACCAAGAGTCAGACACTTGATGGACTGAGCCACGCAGGCATTCCCATTCTTCTCTTTCATTTATCAGTTCTTAAAGTAATGGTGCCCTAGTAATCTCTAAAGTTATCCAATGAGTTTTTGGGTGGTCTACTTTTTTTTTTTTTTTTTTTTTTTTTTTTTTTTTTTTACTATTACGAGGAACTCATGGATTTGTATCTATTTAACGTGTTTCAGTCCTTTGTGTTCATTGTTCGTTGTGGCTATTACAGTCTTCTTTTTGTCACTAGTTTAAACAGCTGTGATTCTGATGTGGGTTGCTGGAGTTTTCTTCATGTTTCATGTGGTTGGGGTTTGTTGAGCTTCTTGGATGTATGCGTTTATAGTTTTCATCAAATCTGGAAAATTCCAAGCATTGTGTCTTTTTTACTTTTTTTTTTTTTCAACGTTTATTTATTTTTGGGACAGAGAGAGACAGAGCATGAACGGGCGAGGGGCAGAGAGAGGGAGACACAGAATCGGAAACAGGCTCCAGGCTCTGAGCCATCAGCCCAGAGCCCGACGCGGGGCTCGAACTCATGGACCGTGAGATCGTGACCTGGTTGAAGTCGGACGCCGAACCGACTGCGCCACCCAGGCGCCCCATGTCTTTTTTACTCTTAATTAAAATAGGTTTGACATATAACACTGTATAAATTTAGGGCATACAAGTGTTAATTTGATACATTTCTATATTGTGATATGCTTGCCATTGCATTGATAATTAGCATCTCTATCATGTTACATAATTATCACTTCTTTTTAGTGGTTGGAATAATTAAGTCATAGTCTCAGGAAGTTTGGTGATTATAATACAGTGTTGCCTGTATTTACCATACTGTGCATTAGATCTCTAGGATTTATTTACTATACACACACGTGCGTGCACCTTTTTTATGTTTTCCTGGATGGTTTTAAAATAAACCTCAAGACCATCATATAATTTTATTTGTATGTTTGTGCCCTTAAACAATATCTGTCCTGTCCCCAGTCCCTTTCTCCTGGCAACCACCGTTTTACTCTCTGTTTTTGTGAGGTTGACTCTTTAGATTCCATATATAAGTGATGTCACACAGTGCTTGCTTTTCTCTGTCTGACTTACCTCACTTAGCCTCATGTGCTCCAGGTCCATGCATGCTGTCATAAATGGCAGGATGTTCTTTCTTAATGGCTGAATAATATTCCATTGTGTGTATATACCACATCTTTATCCATTCATGCATGGGTACTTAGGTTGTTTCCATAGCACATTCTGTCATGAATCATGCTGCAGTAAACATGGGAGTGTGTATATCTCTTCGAGATCCCATTTTTGTTTCCCAGAAGCACAACTATAGCAGATCTATTTTTAGTTTTGGGGAGAAACTTCATGTTGTTTTCAATAGCGGTTGAACCAGTTTACATTCCCCTCAACAGCGCACAAAGCTTCCCTTTTCTCCACATCTTCGCCAGCACTTATCTCTTCAAATAATTTTTCTCTTCTCCTCTCCTCTGACAATTTTAATTATATGTATATTAGACCACCTTGAGTTGTCTTCTAGCTTGATGATTGCATGTGCAATTTTTCAGTCTTCCTTTGCTCTGCATGTTTCATCTTGGATAGTTTCTAACTACTCAAGGTCACAGATCTTGTTTTCTGCAGTATCTGGTATACTGTCAGTGCCATCCAATGTATTTTTTTATTTCATACATTGTAGTTTTCATTTCTAGAAGCTTGACTTGGGTCCTTTTTATAGTTTCTGTGTTACCATGCCCAATTTTTCCTGTAAGTTTTTGAACAGAAGAAACACAGTTATGACTATTTTAGTCATAGTGTTCTTGTTTACTAATTAGTGTTCTTGTCTATTAATTCTGTCATCTGTGTCATTTCTGAGTTGGGTTCAGTTAATTGATTTTTTTTTTCATTATGAATTGTATTTTCATGCCTTTTTGGTGCCTGATAATTTTGATCAGATGTCAGACTTCGTGCAGTTTACCTTGTTGGGTATTGGACATTTCTACATTCCCATAACTACTCTTGAATTTTGTTCTGGAATACATTTAAGATACCTAGAAACAGTTTGATCATTTCGGGTCTTCTGCTATATTAGCAAGACCATAGCAGCATTTAGTGTAAGACAGATTTTGCCATTGCTTAGGTAAAATCCTTCTGAGTACTCTGTCCACTTCCCCATTAATTCTGAAGTTTGCCGTTCTGCCTAATAGGAAGAGGAACTGTTCCCAGCTCTTTGTAAGCCTTAGATTATTTCTTCTAATCTTTCACTGATCACTACTCCATTGAAGGCTTGAGGGAGACGCTCTGCAGATTTCTGGAACACTCTGTGGAGCTTTCTGCTCTTCACTATTCTGCCCTGTGATTGCAATCAGCCTTGGCCTCCCTGGAGGCCTGTTCAGTCTCCTGAACTCAGGGAAACCTCTGGACTGGCTTCCCCCTCTTCACTGTGGCCTATACATTGTCTCAAGGCAGGAATTAGGCAATTCCTGGGGTTCACCTTGTTTGTTTCTTCTCTTAGGTATCACTGTCCTTTTTTGCATTATTTCCAAAGTCTTAAGAAGCATTGTTTCATATATTATGCTTGGTTTTTTGCTGTTATTTCAGATAGATTGGTAACTCCAGTATATGTCTTGGCCAAATGCAGAGCCCTTTTTTCTTTTTGTGTTTTTTGACTAGCAGTAACCTGACTTAATTGGCTTGTGTCCTTTACACATAGCCCCAGTAATCTTTGATATTTGTTTTTGCTTTCTGGCTTGTTAAGATGTCCCAGACCTAGAAGGTAGCTACTTCTCCATGGAGCTGATTGTTTTGGTGAAAAATCCTTTAAGAAGATTATATAAATAAGGGCACCTGGTGGCTCAGTCAGTTAAGCGTATGACTTCGGCCCGGGTCATGATCTTGCGGTTTGTGAGTTCAAGCCCTCTATTGGGCTCTGTACTGACAGGTCAGAGTCTGGAGCCTACTTTGGATTCTGTGTCTCCCTCTTTCTCTGCCCCTCCCCTGCTTACACCCTGTCTGTCTGTCTCTCTCTCAAAAATATATATTAAAGAAAAAAAAAGAATATATCAATAAAATTTAGCCAAGTACCTACTACCTACTAGGTATATTATTTAAATTTGGCATGTATTTTCTTTTTTTTTTTTTTTAATTTTTTTAATGTTCATTTTTGAGAGAGAGTACAAGCAGGGGAGGGACAGAGAGAGAGGGAGACACAGAATCTTCCAGACCCCACCCAATGTGGGGCTCGAATTCACGAACTGTGAGATCATGACTTGAGTCAAAGTTGGACACTTAACCTACTGAGCCACCCAGGTGCCCCTTGGCATTTATTCTCTAAAACCAGTCTTCGGACTGATGCCAATCCATGATCAAACAATCCTTGTACTATGCCAAAATTAGGAAAATAAGGACAAAATATTGAGTTTTTTATAAATCCCAATCTCTTCAATATAAAGAAATATTTTTTTATTTTAAGATTATGTTCCAGGGCACCTGGGTAGCTCAGTTGGTTGAGCGTCCAACTCTATTTTGGCTCAGGTCCTGGTTTCATGATTCGTGAGTTCAAGTCCCATGCTGGGCTCTGGGCTGCTGGTGTGGAGCCTGCTTGGGTTTATGACATAATAGTGATGTCTAGGATAATATCTCAAATTCAGAATTCTCGGTAAGTTTTCAAACATCCATAATATGCAAAGAATATCATAAGATCTGTGGAGATGGGGTGCAAGAAAAAGAATAGGACAGATACAGTCATGGAATTGTGCACATATGATGGTACAGGAAAAGATCGTGCTCCTAATAACAATTTGCACATGTGAGGACTGAATCAGAGCACTTGGAGGGGAGAAAAGACATGCTCTGGTACAAATGCTTGGTGCCATAGGACCTCAGGAGGGTAGAGATCAAACATTTGCTTTTAAACTTTGTATTGATCCTCCATAGTATCCTTAAAAAAACATTCTTTGCTTGTGATATCCACATACTATAGGGAAACTGAAGTTGGATAACAGTGTTCTGTCTGTGCTCAGTATGTACATTATCTCTCTTCCTCCAGCCTCCTCTGAACCCAAGCAGGTGTACAGAAAGTGAATGGAGGGATTATGAACATTATTTGCTTCAAGGATGTATGTTTGTTTGGAAAAGAATGTCTTTTCTAAATGCCCAGTTTTACCTTCTCTGATGATAGAATAACTGTAACAATATGCTAATATTTGTACACAGTGTAAGAATGAAAGAAAACTTCTGTATCAATTTTTAACTGGTAAGAGTAGAAATATAGGCTGTGGATAACTCAGTCTTACCATCTGTTTAACTTTTAGAATATTTACCTTTACGTAAATTTGGTTTTGGCAGAAAAATTAAGCTCTCCTAAGAAAGTTATTACATCACCAAGGAAACTTCCTCCGCAGTCACCACAAAGTAGCGTACCAAAACGAACACTTCCGCCTAAAACTTTGGCAAATTACTTTAAAGTTTCTTCTAAGCCAAAAAAAAATGAAGAAATAGTACTTCTGGAAAATAATAAAGGTAAGACATTAAATTGACAAAATATATGTGATATTTTTTAATAATGACCTTCATACATAAAATATCCTATTTCATGAGTTCCTATTGCTATTTATTTTTTTAATGTTCTAATTCTTTTTTATTTTTCTGTAATCTGTTTTTCTAAATGTTTATTTTTGAGAGAGGGAGAATGAGTGTGGGTGGGGGAGGGGCAGAGAGCGAGAGAGAGAGAGTGTGGGATAGAGGATACAAGGCAGGCTCTGGGTCAGGTTTCACAAACCAAACGTGAAATCATCACCTGAATCGAAGTCGGACGCTCAACTGACTGAGCCACCTAGGTGCCCCTATTTTTATTATTTTTAGAGAGAGTGAGACCACAAGCAGTGGAAAGGGGAGGGGGGGAGGTGGGGAGAGAGAGAGAGAGAAAGAGAAAGAATCTTAAGCAGGCTCCAGGCTTAGCGTGGAGCCCGATACAGAGCTCGATCCCACAACCCTGGGATCATGACCTGAGCTGAAATCAAGAGTTGTTCACTCAACTGACTGAGCCACCCAGGTACCTCCTACTGCTATTTATTAAACCTCAGCTACTTTGAAGGTCATGCATATAGGAGTTTTGATATTTTGTTTCAGCTTTTTTCTTCCCCCACCCTTGTTTCAGTTTTGATAGGGGGTTTCACTTTGAGCTTAGTTTGCAGAAATATCCAGTGTTCTGTTAAAGGTTGATTTGAATCTAAAATATTAATATTTTGTTTATGCAGGAATCAAAAATTCTTGTGAACAGAAACCAATTATTCAGACTAAATCTACAAACACAACTAAGTCAAATGTCAAAGAGTTTGGAGCTGAGGAATCCAACAGGAAAAACGCAACATCTCTCATTCTTTTTGAGGAGGTAGGCTTGTGGACATATGTTCATGATATCTTATAATACAAATTTTTGTATGAGGTGCCTGGATGGCTCAGTCAGTTGAGTGTCCGACTCTTGATTTCAGCTCAGGGCATGATCTTGCAGTTCGTGAGCTCGAGTCCTGCTTCAGGCTCTGCTCTGACGTTGCGGAGCCTTCTTAAGATTCTCTCTCCCTCTCTCTGCTCCTCCCCAACTTGTGCATGCATGCGTACTCTCTCACTCTCTCTCTGTCTCTCTCAAAATAAATAAACATTAAAAAAAAACTTATTCTACAGATTACTGCATGTGTTACTGTGAAGTGTTGTAAAATAGCCAAGAAAGTCAGGAAGACTTGTATCTATTTGAATTTTAAGTGAATGAAACTGCAACCATAGAAGAATTTTTCAGAAAGATGATTAATGCAATTCAGGGTTATTAATTATTGTTCAGTGATTATAGAAATTATTCTGATTCATACTTGTTCAGGTATAGGTGACTGCTTTTTTTGGTTTAATATTATTTGATAATTTTTTTTACTTACAATGGTGTAAAACATTTTAAGCTTTCAGTGTGGGCTGAATTCACAGTGTTCATAAAGTTAATAAATTCATAAACTTTGTCTCTGACAGACTTACAGTGTATCTAGTATGTGTACATGACATATCCAGCACATGTTTTGTTACTCAGTACACTAATATTCTCATAAATGGTTCTTAGGTTGATGTCATTTTTGAGGAAGATGCTGGGTTTTTGAATGCAATCAAAACATTCATGGCAACAACTAAAAGACCTGTAATCCTTACTACAAGTGGTAGGTAACAGTGATTTGACAGCTAATTACTTTTGGTTAAAATATTTGAGAAAGCCTCAAATTTTAGTTAGAAATGTTCCTTTAAAAGTCTGCTAGTAAAGGGGCGCCTGTTGGCTGAGTTGGTTAAGCATCCGACTTTGGCTCAGGTCATGATCTCAGTTTGTGAGTTTGAGCCCTGCATCAGAGCTCACAGCCTGGAGTCTGCTTCAGATTCTGTGTCCTCCTTACTCTCTCTCTGTCCCTACCCTGCTTGCACTCTGTCTCTCAAAAAATAAATAAACTTTAAAAAAAAAAAGTCTACTAGTGGGGGCATCTGGGTGGCTCATTCGGTTAAATGTCTGACTTCAGGTCAGGTCATGAGCTCACGGTTGTGAGTTCGAGTCCCACTTTGGATTGTCTGCTGTCAGCAGAGAGCCTGCTTCGGATTCTCTGTCCTGCGCCCCCCCCCCCCCCCCCCCCCCCCCCCCACCTCTCTGCACCTCCCCTGCTCATGTTCTCAATCTCTCAAAAAAAAATAAACAAACATTAAAGAATAAAAAATGAAAGTCTACTAGTAAATTAACTTTTTTTTTCTAAAATTTGAAGGCTCCTAGATCATTTCTTAAATGAGGAATTATTCAAATTTATGATCAGTTCTCAGCTTTGAGTAATTATAAAATTAATATGTTACCTTGCAAATGGCACCAAACATCATTCACTGGTCAGAACTTTTTATGGAACCCAGCCTTTCTGCAGTTCCTTAATATTGAACTTAGCCATTCCTTAACCCCTGAGAACACTTCCGTATGGATTATTGCCTATTTTAAAGTAAGTTGTAACCAGCCTGATTGCTCTAAACTTCCTAATGATTAGTGTTTGGTGTTCAATTTTAAAACTCATAGTTTTTTTTTTCATTATAAACACTGAATTATAACACTGTTTTCTAATATTTTTCATTGCACATATTCAGTAGCATATCTCTGCTATGAATTTCTAGAGGAAAATAAATGTTAGTTTATGTCAGACTCCACTTATAAATTAATGGGTCATTTGACTGTTAGTGATTGTCCTCTAAAAATATTGATATAAATTGTATTATTCAAAGGTTACATGACAGTTTAATTAAAAGATCAATTATTTTAGGTCAAGATAAAAATTCACTTCCTTAATGATTTATAATTTGCATATTTTTATTACCGATGAGATACAGAATATTTTCATAGAAAAAGTATAACTGGACAAAGTAATTTAATGGTCTTAATGGTTTTTTAAAATGTTTTTTTTTCCTATAGATCCAACATTTAGTTTAATGTTTGATGGCTGCTTTGAAGAAATTAATTTCAGTACTCCTTCGCTTGTAAGTTTTGAATTTTGATCATAAATCATATATCACAATTCTGTAAAAGATGGTTTCTTATGATAGTGCCATGTATCTTCAGTACATTGCTGATTAGAAGAGTGAACATCTCTGCCCTGTTCCTGATGGTAGGGTGAAAGGCATTCTTTACCATTAAGTGTGATATTAGCTGTATATTTTCATAGATGGTCTTTATCGGTTAGCTGTATTTTTATTGTGAATGGTGTTAAATTTTGTCTGGTGGGTTTTTTCCTGTCTTTTGAAACAATCATCTGGTTTATCTTTTTAATTCTATCACTGTGGTGAATGATGTTGTTTGATTTTTGGATGTCAGACCAGTCTTGCATTCTTAGGATAATATGGTCATCCTGCGTTATGTCTTTTATATATTTCTGGATTTGAGACTTTTTCCCTGTACTTTGTGAATATATTGTAGATTCTGTTATGTTTGTGTGAACAGATATTCTCCTGTAATATGTGGCAGCTAAAATTTCTGTTCCATTCTTTTAGTCTTAGCTGGGCTGCTTTGAGCTAGGCCCACACATGTGAAGTTCAGGTATCAACCAGGGATTTGCATTCTTCTTTTAGCTAGAGTTTCTGTTTCCCTACTTTCACTGAACTCCCCTGTCACTTTCCAGCTACGGCCATCATCCCAAACTCTATCCTCTGGTTCAGGCCAGTAATATTGTGAGTTTGTGTCTGAGTTTTAGCCACCATTGCTGCCCCCTGCCCTCAGTCAAAAATCAACTTAAAGGAGGTAGGAGAGGATGGGAGTTCATCCAGGGCCATTTTCTTTTGTCCAAGTGTTGATGTCCCTTCAGTTATCTTCTGCTCAGGTTACTCTCTTGTGCCTTCAAGTAGTTTGTTTTTTATATTTATTTGTTACTGATTGTAGAGTTTATAGTTATTACTGAAGGCAAGGTTTGTCTGATAATAGGGTCTTTGTTATTGAAAGAATTCCTAGTTTGTGGGAAGCAAAAGTCCCAGAAGTATGCAGGAGTAATGTATGCACATAAAATAAAGTCAAAAATTTAATAGAGGAAATCTTTTAATTGTCTTGTTAACTTCAAGGTAAAAATGCTAGTGATCTTGTAAAATATGCAAAATGTAAATACAATTTTATTTGTTTCAGCTTTTGAAGGTAAAAAGCTTTCCATAAACAGTGGGAAGAGAAGAGTATATGTTTTGTCATTTTACAAAAAAATATTATAGTGATATTGATGAAAACGCTAAATAAAATGAAAATTTTTACTTGGTCCATTTATTCTTAAGAAATTACATGGGTTTTTTGTTTTTTTGATTTTTGTTTTCATTTTGTCTCATAATGTTTCTTGTTAACTTACATGTATACGTTTGTGCATGCATTGATATAATTTTCTAACTCTGGCTTTTAAAAATTACTTGAGTATTTTTCAGTATTGTAGTATTCACATTGTTTTTCTTCTATAGTATTCACATTTATAATTTTAATGGCTGTGAAATATTCCATCAAGTTGTACCATTATTTAAGCTTAAGGGAATTTCTCAAGGTTTAATAACATTGCCTCCAGGGTTCGTGTTGGAAAATTTCCCGTAAAAGTTTCCTTACTGTTTTTAGACTGTATACAGTTAATAAAATAAGTATACGTAAAATCTTTTTAATTTAGAAGTATATTCCTTTATATTTTTCTAGATCAGTTTCACTCTCAAGAGCTAAGATATTGTGAATTTTAGTGAAATTTGTCCTACTTTTAGATATGTATTACTGATGTATTTCTGTTAACTCTACAATTCACCATGTTTCTTTTTTCTTTCTCTGTTTGTTGCTCAGCTAAATGTTGCCAGCTACCTACAGATGATCTGCTTAGCTGAGAACTTTAGAACTGATGTGAAAGACTTTGTAACATTGTTAACTGCAAATACTTGTGATATTAGAAAGAGTATCCTTTACTTACAGTTCTGGATTAGAAGTGGAGGTGGATTTTTAGAAGAAAGACCATTATCCCTTTGTCGTAAGTTGATCTGTTATAAAAGAAATTTCTGTAAGGGGACCCTCTGTTAAACTATATGCTGTACCAAAATATCTGAAAGATTTAAAAAATTGTGAGCATCCAGAGATCATATTAATCTTGAACATAAACATACATATGTCAATTTAGTTGATTAAAATTTTATAAACATGAAATGTGGTTAGAGTAAACCTGCACATGGAACAAATTGTTACTTCTACATTTATAAGCATAGTTTCTTATAAACAAATAGAATTAAATATTATTTAGCAACTGATTTCCTTTTTCCACTTACTAAAAAACATGTTGGTGATTTTCCCCATATATAGGTTATTTTTGTCTGACTGTAAGTTCTCCTTTAGCTTCAATAGTCTATCATTCTTTTCTCATAAGAACTTTATCATTTCAGAAATGTTTTATTTCTTATCAATCTTTAGCCTCTGTTACCGAATTGAAGTCACAGACATTTATTGAGGACTTTCTCTATGCCAGGTCCTGTGTTTACATGAATAAGACATGCTTCCTTCCCTGAAGAAGTTCATAGTTCTGTGGTTTTCATGCTCCATAGTCACAGTTCTGTAGTTACAGATCCTGCTCTGGGAAATACACAAATATTTAAATAAAACCAAGGTGAAGTTCTGTAATATTAATCCCCTGTCAAGTTTTTTTTTTCCTTCGATTAGTTCCAAATTTTAATGTGTTATTCTTTTTTGAGTTAGCAAACGTATATATTTAATTCAGTGTAAGCTTGGAGCCTTAACTGTTTCTTAGAAGTAAATATGATAAATAAGACACAGAAAAATCTTCTTATAAAAAACAAATTAGTAACTATTGCCATATGACTGGAAATAAAATGCTATACCAAGAACTTTCAAAGAAAAAAAACTGTGTCATTATTTCTTTTCTTGAAGATTTTATATGCATTTTATTTCTGTCTAAAAAAATGCAGCTGTGTACTCATTGGGAATTCAAACAGTACAGAAGTATGTAAAAGAAAAGTAAAAGATCTCCCCCCTTCTTAAGATTAGCCACTGTTAGAGCTTTATCTATGCATGTACAAATATTGCTACCTACTTACTTAGCAGAGTTAACCAATACTGTATGTACTGTTAAGCAATTTGCTGTTTTTACTGGAGAATGTGTTGTTAGTACGTACAGTTTTAGCCCTCTCTTTTTCACAGCTGCATGCTATTCCATAATAGGGAATGGATGTAACGTAATTTAATTAACCATCACTTATTAGTGGAAATGGAAGTTACCTTTTGTTGTCATTAAAATGTGCAGTGAATATCCATACACATATCCTTGAGCATATCTGTGAGTACTTCTGTTGAAGAGAATTCTAGAAGTTTGGTTGCTAGGCCAAAGGCTAGAGTACATTTGCATCCTGGTAGGTATTGTCCGGTTGCCCTCCAGAAGATAACTGTACAAATTTATGTTCCCAGGAATAGTTTATGATGGCTTTTTTATGTATACCTCTGAGAAAATTAGGGAGCCAGTTGTTTTAGTTTTGCCAATTTAAAAGGCGAAAAGCGAATGGTATCTTATTCTAATTTGCATTTCCAAGATCACTAGTAAAATTGCACATCTTTTTATGAGTTTATTAGATATTTGTATTTCTTCTGTTACTTGTCTGTTCATAGTCCTTGTGCTTTATTCTTTTGGATTGTTTTGTAAGCCGACCACCACCACCATCTTAACCTCTGTATGCTAGAAATAATGTTTGTATCGTACTTTTTGTGAATTAAAAACACATGTGGAGAAGAAGAAAATGGGAATATAGGTCCAAAAGGTGACAGGATCTTGGATTTTAAATAATTTTTTGCTGTAATTTATTAAAAATATAGATAGCTAAGATTTTCTTTTATTAATTTTGTAGGAGGAAATAGCAGAAGTGTTCAGCTGGTTTGCTCTGAAGATGGCCCTGATTCCAAAAATAAACCTAAAAATACTAAAAGGAGCCCTACAGACCTTCCCAAATGTGACACTGGCTGTGTTGAGACCTTGTTTGGCCTTAAGAACATTTTTTCCCCATCGAAAGACTTATTTTCATTTCTAAAGGTATTTTCAATGTCTAGTGTAAGATATTAAATTTATATTCCTTTTCATCTTCCTAACACTCACTCCTGTGTTTTAAATCTTAAAGTTAGGGAGACCTGGATGGCTCAGTTAGTTGAGCGTCTGACTCTTGATTTCAGCTCAGGTCATGATCCCAGGGTCGTGGGCATGAGCATGGAGCCTGCTTGAGATTCTCTCTCAGGGCGCCTGGGTGGTATCAGTTGGTCAAGCATCTGACTTTGGCTCAGATCGTGATCTCACGGTTCATGGGATCA